GGGCTTAGGAGTTCTACCAAAGGCAGGTTGTAGCCTCCGAGCCTGACGTGCTTCTACCGGGAGAAGTCCGACACCTTCAGGTTCAGAGGATGCATCCCCAGGGTCCATCTGCAGGGCAGGGCATCGGCAGTGGGCACGCACGCACAAAACCATACGTGTGGACAATCTCCAACATTTGGAGCTGCACTGCATCCCACATCACCAAGTAACTCTTCTGGGACATAAACAACTATTTTCCTGAGACAGTGACAGGAGAGACACCGCTTCCTACCCACTTCAGGGAAGCCTGTATCCAGGGCTCCACTCCAGCACCTGCTCCGAAGGGATTTCTCATGACAAACCCCTGGGCTGAACTGAGGGTGTCGCTGGGAGAAGCGATGACCCGTGGAGCTGCTCTGCTCCCTGCCCCACAGCCAGGGCTCCCCAGCACACAGGGCACCGGCAGCACAGCCCAGCGCAGAAGAGGACGGGGAGAGGGGGGACACTCCAAACCCACAGGACCCCGAGGTCCCCCAAGAGCTCGGGGATACACGAGATAAACACACCTTTTTCCCCCTCTTTCTTCACCGTACCAGTTGCAGAGGGCAGAGCTCTGCTCGGGGAGCCCCCGTCCCCGTGCTGCCGTCGCTGCACAGCCCAGCACAACCAGCTTCAGTGCCAGCAGCTTGGAGGGTGGAGCAGAGATCAGAAATTCATGCTGGGAACGAAAGATATTTACAAGAAGGTGAGGCAATAAATAAATAAAAATCTTCAGTCAACACCAAAGGTAAGCATATATATATTAGAAGTACTTATTATAAGAAGCAAAGCAGAACCTGCCTGCTGCCTGACCCCCCATTTATACCTTGTAGCATTTATTCCAAATACTAAGGAAAGCATTATTATTTTTAAAAGAGGAAAAGAAAGAGAATAAAAGAAGCATTGCCATGGATATAACTATGAATTCCTATCCCACTAACAGGAGTTTTACCAATTTTACAAACCATTCCTCATCAGTTGTCCACCACACACGAGTCTGGAGTCACCTGCAGAAAAAAGGCTGCAAGAGTGTTTAACTTGCTGAATGTATTCACACAATGGAGCTTTAAAATGTGAAAACACGGAAGATATTCTTTGGAAGAAAAACTAAAAATAAAGGAAATGTGACCGTTCACCTTCGTACATTTGCAGTCGTAAAAGCTGCTGCCCATTATTCTATTCACAAAACAACATAAAGCGTGAACTTTAAATAACAAGATGTCCTCTGCACGGGAGGAACAGCGTGGGGTCAGTACAGGTACCTCTCAAAGCCAGGCACCCAAACCCTGCAGGGCACACAGGGTCAGAATTTCACCACATCCAATTCTCTGAAATTAGTTCACATAGGCACCGATACAGATAATGTTTTCCTTTAATGGTGAATGATTTTATAATGAAGCAGAAACATATAATGTATTCCATGCAACCAACCTCATTTATTGAAAAGTCCTAATTTTATTGCTTTGTTTAGTAACATGTTTGTTCAACAAACTAATCTTTTTTCATGAAGCAAAGCACAACTTTTTCTTATAAATAGTATAAATTATTTTATTTACAGAAACTTGTTACAAAACAAATAGACTATATATTTATTTTTCTTTTAAATATCCAAAGTATTTTTTCTATCCCATGACATTTGTTCATGTACTATACAGCAGCCAACACAGAGTTCAGCTGATCAGATGCTCTTGATTATGTATACAAATTATCAAACTATTCACACATTTTACACAGGAGATTGCTTTTAGAACCAGGCTCAACACCGAGCAAGATGCTTTCAAGGCCTACATTCACATTGACATTATGTAGTGCTCATTTTAAAATTATCTTTAAAACGTAAAATATCTCGCACAAAAGGTAAAAATGATTATTTTCGGCTGAACAGCGAAACATTTAAGAATCTTTCTAAGCCAAATTCCCCCCTCCAGGACAGAATGAGTGAAAGATGAGAGAGAGATTCCTTGGCAAGAGAACTCTTACAGGAAGACAACTGCCTTAGAAATGCCATTTGGAAATCACATCTTTATTTTTTAATGGTCTTAAGAGGTACTTACTTGGATTTTTTTTGTCTGTTTTGTTTTCCTGGAATACCAACTACTTTGAACTTTTTAAAAATGATTTCATTTATGAATACTGCCCTACCCCTTCCCAACACGAGGCAGTTAAATAAACCGCTGGTTAGAACCACATTTCAAACCCTTGGCCTTATATTAAACATGAGTTATCGATGGGATTGTTCCAACACAAGGTATTGTAATTAAAAGATGTTACTAAAGTTCCTAGCATCATTCGCTTTCTTTTATCAACCCATCTCATTGATTTCAGAAAATACATATATGCATGCATACGTATATACATACGCACACATATATTATATATAGGTGGAAAAAGCAAGCTCCAAAATTTCAACTGAACATTCAAGTCTTTTAAGGAGAAGCTGTCTAAACAGTCCAAGCTTAAAACTAGTTATATCAGGCACTTTCAGTTTTTCCGTTAGTTTTAAACCACATGAGACCCACACAAATGCGCACGCACACAAACACTAAAGAAAAAAGAAAAAAACAGAAAAAAACAGAAAAAAAAAAAAAAGAGAAGCAGTGTGTCACTTAACTAAATGTAGTCTTCTGGGAACCAGGCAACTGAGGAGCAGCGCCGTGCACGGAGCCGTCCCTTCAGCTGCAAAGTAGGCATGTTAACTATTGGCTTGGCAGTGAACCACTTCAAATTGTAAAAAAAGTATTTGCTTTGTTTTTGTTTTTTTTTTTTTCTCCTTTTTTTTTTTAATTAATTAATAAATAAATACTAGATGATCTCAATTGTACCAAAACTGGATATAAGAAAAAAAGACCTGTGCAAAAATACATATTTAAATATGTACAATCAATTAACAAAATATGTCTTCTGAAATAGGGATACTTCAATATTTATAATAGAACAAGAAATTCCAAAATAAAGATACAAAAGTATGCTTTTTTTTTTCCTTGTATAATTCTTTGTTCATCATTGCAGCAATTTTTTAGGTTAAGAAAACTGCAGGAGTCATAATGAGAAGCTGGAAAGACTATAAAAACTGTATCTCTTAAATTAATACCAAAATCTGTCTAGAAACAACCCAGCCACTGCAAATTCAATTTTGCAAGGAAAATTAATTTTAAGCTTCCTCAGTTATTTACAATAAGAACTACGTGACAATAAAAGCTTCAGGAACAGTGTTCTGCTTGTATTCAAGATCTAAAACATAATATTTAAGCAGGTCTACGCTCAAGGGCAGACAGAATTCAAGGTGTTCTAACTCTTTACTCCCAATGGCTTAAACCCACGTGATGCAGGTGGCTGCAGACACTGGCTCTGTATGAGCAGCAGGCAGGAATTGAGTTTTTAACACGTCCGCATGCTACTGAAGGAGCATGAATTTGCCATTATGCTTTCAGATCAACAGAACCTTAAAAAACACCCCAAAATAACAGAGGAAGGTTTGACCACAAACTTGCTAGTGTTCAATCTTGCCAAATTCTTGTTTCCTTTGCCTTTTGTGTCTATCAAGAGTCAAATTGCACTTGTGACTGATGCTATCCTGAAGTGGAAGCTCTGCCCCTGGGACTCGATCAGAGCGTGGATCTCACTCCAGCCGCGCAGGATTTAATACGCTTTGATTTCTCTTTGTGGCTTATCACTTTGGCTCCTTTAACGTTACACCAATCGCAGTTCTAGCAATCCTTTCAAGGGCATCTTATTAAACATGAATCCTTTTGTTCCTGAAAAGATGTCTTTTTAAAAGTTTGCATAATGAGTGTCTCTAGTACATTGCTTTCTCAGTGTGATCTTTCATGTCCGTTCAAAGCTAAAGTGTCTGCATAGAGGCTTCTTGTTGTTTTGCTGTGTAACAACGGTTTCGTAGCAAGTTCAGGTTAAACTGAAAGCACTGTTAGTAAACAACTAAGCAACTGCTACTCAGAGTGGCTTTGGATTCCCTGATGTACTACTTGCCACCAGAACTGGGGAGAAGGCTGGGCTATGCAAACAATTAGACAGGCTCAGATTGTCTCTTCTCAGCAACAGCTGGTGCCCCTTTAAGGCAGGAAAAAAAGATCTCTTCTTGGTTAGGAATTTGCTTTTCTTTTTGCTTTGTCCCCTTAATAGAAGTTTAGTCAGTTTTGAGACTTCACCTGATGTTTAAAAACTCAACAAAAATATGCAGACAAATCAAATCATAGAACAGTAAGCCCTTTAGCAGAATTCACGTTTGAGGTGTTTTGATGCAAGACAAAACTTCATAAAAATTGACTGGACTATATAAAAATGTGTAAAGCCCCCTTTATTCAGAAAGCCTGGGTAGGCAAGGGATGACTGTGAGGCGCCCATCTGCGCTTTACAGTGAACTCTGCTGTCAAATTGGCATTTATTCCAGGGGTTCTGGAGAAAAAAAAAATCTTATCTGAGTGGTTGAAAGCATAAAACGTTAACGATTTAGTTATACAAACAAGGCATAAAGAAACTGACTCCTATGCTTTATAGAAAATACTTAAATACTTTAAATACTTAGTTTTTAAAGGGCTATTTTTACTGGCTGGAAGACAAATCCAGCCTAATTTAATCAATACAGTTGTTATTTTTTTTTTAAATAACAAAGGCCTATGGTATACAGTATAGGTCAATAAATATGTTCTTTGGGCATATAGTTTTAGAGGTTATTTGCCTTTGTCTGATGTTTTTGGATTTTTTAAAAAACAAAATTTTCATTTTCTTCTGCAATCAAATCTCATTTAAAAGAATAGAAAATAGGTTTTCTTCCATGTGAGTACAACATTTTTATACTTGTTTTTTTTTTTTTTTTGAGCGATGGCCTCAAACAAGTTTTTCTGGGTTTTGTTTGTTTTGTCTTTTTTTAAACTCCTGATAGCTTCTTATCCCAAATTACTTGCAAAAAGGCTGGGCAAAACACAGATGATTATTTTTAATTGTGCTATTTTTATATCCCGTTAAAGGAACATTGCTATAAAAACACTAAAGCCATATTCCCTTCTTGAGGGCTTCTTCCCGTTGTGCCTCACACATTTTTCCCCCTTGTCACGGGGTCCTCTCCATTAAGGGTGTCCTTCTGGTTAGCTATCACCTACAAAAGACACCATCAGTATAAAAATAAGTCCACAGTAACGTTTATTTCCCCCCAGAAAACATTCTTTTGCCCAGCCAATCTATGTCAAATAGTGGCAAGATGATGTACTCCTGTAAGTAAAGTCTCACAGATTTGTAGCAAACAGTCCAGACCACCGTTAACACTGATAAGAGCAATGATGTGGCTGAACTTCATCCAGTGTCCATTTTTAATGTATTCGCTGCTACAGACATGGCTTCAGGGAAATTTCTTGTTTTAGTGACAGTCCAGTAGATTTCCACACCTGAGGACCATGGGAAGTTGGGAAAACTCAAGGCATCTTGGAGTCCAGAAATCCAGATGGAGGTTTTGCTTGTAGTGAAAACTGTCCAGTTCGTTTCTCACCGTGGTGGGTTCAGCTGTCAGGGACGGGCCTTTGGCTTTTGGGCAAGCAAGAGAGAGAGAAGGACAGGTGAGCCAGGCTGTCAGAGCAGATGCCTCTACAAGACACCTCCTGGGTAACCAGAGCGTATCTGGGGGAGAATCCACAGGTACAACATGACACCTCCAACATGCAGTTGGCACCTCTGAGACTTGACCATTCTCAAGCTAAAACTCTTTAAAGTTATAATGGTGTCAGACAGGACTCCCTTCCTTAATTCACTTAAGTTACGTTTTTCCTTCATTTTTATTGCATAGTTGAAATAGTAACTGTTAGATAGGTCCAAAAAGAAATTCAACCACATGAATGCTTTTTTTCGTTACACAAAAAACACAAGTAATTGTGAAAAGTCTTCCTTTATGGCTGGTACTGAAAATTAAGGAACTGTTCTGAAAATGCTCTTCCTGACCTTCTAGCTCTCCAGGTACAAAGACTTCAGGTTATTAGCACCAAAGGGAACAAAGTTTCTGGGGTTTTCATTCTCAAAAAATCTAGTTCTGAAACTACTCTTTTAAAATGCCATCTTCTATATGCTCCTCAAGCTGTATCAAATTATTTTTACTCCAAGTGATCCTCCAAGTCAATCTGAATAATATTATTAAGAAGTCTGAGCTACCAATTTCTAAATTCTCTCTCACCCTAACTTCAAGAACCTTCTTGCCCAGAACACTACTTTTCCAGTGCAATTTGTTTAGAAACTTCCAAACCTCAAACTAATTTTTAAAATGGGGTCCTACATGTTCACGAGATCTGATATTCATGAGACCTGCTTCCTTTATAAAAAATCTGTTTGCTTTACTGACTAAAAGGTTTCTAATTTATTTATAACATTTAATCTCGTTATTACTAAGAAGTTACTCAATGACACCTTGGGATAAGAGGCTTATTTTATCACAGTATCACAGTTCCGTTATCAGCATCACTATGTTCCACATGGTAGAAAGTTTATTACTGACACAGGAACAAGAAGTCAGGCTGAGACATGCCAGCCAGCCACGGAACAGAGCTGCAACTTTTACTTCTAAAATTATTATTTTTTTTTTTTTTAACTGTGAGCTCTGAATTTCATCTGAGAGCAATTTACAGGCAACAGCTAAGGAATGCAAAACATCTTATTTAAGGTTACTTAAAAAAAAAAAAGCTACACTTTTTGAGAGTTTTTATAAAATTCTTGTGCAAATGTACTCTAAATGAAACACTTCAAATGAGTAGTGACAAATAAGAGAACTACCTTTTACGTGAACAGGGTCTGGAATTGGCTAGCTAATAACCAAAAGAACACATGTAATAGAAGCATGTGAAGAGGCACGTTCGTATTGGCTTAGTTGGAAACAAAATTTCATACCTGATGAAAAAGAGAATTGTTCATCAGTCCTTGTGTCCCCGGGATTGCACCAGTGTGTTTTGCATGAACATTGTTCACCGATGTCAATTTGGCAACTTTGTTTGGTTTGCTGCTGCTGCTGCTGCTGTTGACGCTGCTTGAACCAGGTGAGCACTTTCTTTTCTTTCCTATTAATTTGTCAAGGGAAGTATGTGAATGTGAAAAACTGCTGTGTGAGTTTACAGTCAGCTCGCTGGACTGATGAACAAAGGGCCCTAAGGAGAGCGTGGAGTCGCTGCTGTTCATCATCACACTCATTCTCTTTATGGATTCTGCAGGGCTTCCAGTCGGAGGGCCCCTCCCTGATTGGTCGTGTTTGAGGCTAACGGAGTTAGCTTTGCTAGTCATACAGTTGAGGCCAACGCTGTGAGACGAAGCTGTCACCGATGGATGGTAGGAGGTCCCAGAGTTTCCAGAGTTAACCACACAGTTCTTCCGAAAGGACTCTGTGGAATGAGAAGGTGCGAGCAGTGCGGAGCTGTTCTTACGCTTCTTTCCTGAGCCGCCGCTGCTACTGACGCTGCCGGTGCTGTTACAGGTGCCACTGCCAGCAGGAGTCTCCTTAGGCTTAAAAGATTTGCTGGATTTCATTTTCTGAGGTTTGCTGGGCATAGGTGAAGGTACAGAGGAAAGCACTGTAGGTGTTGAAGGGGATGAAGACACTTGTCTCGATTGCATACTGCAGACGGGATCCACTGCACCCAGGGCAGCAGGATTGGCATTGAGCGTCGTCCCGTGGGATGGTACCGACTTGCTGTTCAGAGACACGCAGGAGGGAGACACCAAAGCTGGCGACGACATGACCGTGGTGGGCAAGAGGAAACCCGTGGCACTGACACCGTACTGCGAGGCAGGCATCGAGTTTGTCCGATGGGGTGCACGAACTGACGCCGTGTTACTGGATGCTGGAGGAATTTTCCTGCGGGTGAACAGAAAGACAAAACCCTGGGTACCTACCGTTCTTCAGAATAATACCCGGGCTAATAATGCCATGTTACAGTGATGGTTTCTTGGGGTTAATGCCACTAAAATATTTTATTAAATTAACAGTTTAACAATTTTTTAATATTACATTAAATTAACAGCAAAACAAAGTGAAGCATTTTAGACCAACAACCTCTGAGCCGATTAATTTGAACACAAGATTACTGTTCTTTAACTAGTATCACAGGCTTCATGTATTTTCACAAATACCAAGAAGAATAAGAACTCTTCCAACTCTACTCACTTCCACATCTGTGAATTAAGATGCTTCTCCAACATGAAGTCAAGTGCACATCGAACGCGGTTCCACCGCTTGTCGAACACGTAATAACCTCTTCCAATTTGCCGACTACCAAATGTGCAAAACTGAAAAGACAAGTTTTGGTTTTTTTTTTTTCCTACTTTCAGTAACAGTTCACCAAATAACAATGCACATGTCCATAAATAAATATTGCTAAAATAAAACGCTTTTAGACATTTAAATGAAGGAAAAAAAAAATTTAGAATTTTTATTTCTGTGCCATGATGACGATTTTTAACTTTTCTCCTTCATAGATCTGGTTTCTTCCCACCTGATACTCTCATCAGGCCAAAAGCAGTAGTCAAATTTGAATCCCTTTGATTAAACAGGGAAGGACAGTAGTGTGTGTATTAAAATATTCTCTCTCTATATATAACATCTACTTCTTTGGAGCTAACAGCTACCTGCTCACAGCCTTTTTTTTTTTTATAAAACAAAAAGATATTTTGATATACAGGTCAGACAATAAAGCTTGTGCTTTTAGTTAGACTACATAGCTTTTGTCAAGACTGTCAAATATTAAAAGAACACATTACTCCTGCCTTTACTATGATGATTGGCACTGAGCAAAAGATGTACATGTGTGTGGGAAAGTCCTGTAACAAAATCTCACCAAAAGGCACTGTTTACATGTCCTTATTCCAAAACCACAGCCCTTTAGAGCAATTACCAATTTCATCTTCATTTCTTCTATCTTGTGCTATTTCTTTAGCATGTTTACTTTGCAACTACAGTTAAACCTTCACTGCCAAAATAATTTTGGAAACAAAATAATTTTCTTAAAATCTAGAAAAAAAATCCCATACCTAATAGAAATCCACCCTTGAAACCCCCCCTTGAAACCCCCAAATAATTTGTTTACAAGCTCAAAGTTAGTGAGAGACCAAAAGTTAACTTTTACTTAGAACGTACAGCGGCTGGTTGAGGATGATGACCTGAATAATGACAATCCAGTTTTTCAACAGGCTCTTCTTTTTCATCACATTCTCCCTCATCACTGGATAACCGAGATGCTGGCTCAGCTGCAGGCAAGGGAGGGTGTGGGGACTCGTGGACAGAAGGAGACTCGCTGGGGGCATTTCCACTGTGCTGGGCTGGACAGCCTGGAGGCCTGGGCAAGGCAAGCAGTAAAGGTGTTACTGAAGTCTAGTTAAAAGCTCCAAGCTTAAGTTCTTACTATTACAAACAGAAGGATCCCTATGTTAACAGACTTTTCCATAGTCCACATATTCCATAACACATCTAGCATGAAGACAGACACAGGGTATAGTGTCCCTGGAAAAGCAGCATTGCCCAGTCATTGCTGAACAACTGTCGGTGATGCAAGTCAGCTTTTATTATTTCAAACACCAAACCCTCCTTGCTAGGAGTTACAGCTCAGTGTGTAATTGCTAATTGTAGACCGACAGTCACCAGGCCTAGAGCAAAAGCTCTGCCCTGTCCAACAGATCCATATCACTCTTTCAAAATCCACCTGAGGAAGCTACCAGCATTAAATTCATACCCTTGGATCTGCAGATATTCCTTACCTTGGAAGACTGGGGGGGTGAGGTTTGGGTTTATTAGGTAATAAAGGCTTTGTTTCTGTAAGAGTAACTCCATGAGAATTTTGGTGCAGCTCCTGGGAAGTTTTAGTAGGTGAGGGATGTGGTTCCCTGAGAGGGGGCATCTGCTGATGATGATCCGAATGTCGAAGAAGTTCCTTTTCCCTGGTTTTGCTTTTGTGCTCAGCTAATAACACATCAAATCGTTTTCTTCGACCCTGTACAGCCCTCCGCTGGGTTAAGGAATGTGTCTGCAAAACCATGAATAAATCATTAATCCCAGGCTATTAGATTTGTGGAAATCAAACACTCAGTACACGTGTCTAGAGCTCTAAACCAGAGGAAATCAACATACTCATTGTTTAGTCAACAAATGGAAGAAAGACTTAGAAAACAAACTTTAAAATTGCTTGGTGGATGATTATATCTGTCTGACAAAAAAAAAAAAAAACAAACACAACACCAAACTGAAAACCCAGTAATTAACTAAAAGGTTTCTTTCAAATTTCTATTTAAAAAAGAAGCTCCCAAAGTTCTTACAAGGTTAAGACTAGAATTGAAAATCTTTTTCACATCGATATTGTAATTGCCAACTAGTGTACAAGCAAAGATATTAAATATTTACTTTAACTTCTGAAAATATTTAACATAACGTTTAAAATCAGACTTTCAATGGGAGATGTGAAAAATATTTATACAAATACTTTGCTTCCTTCTCTGTATTGATATATTTGTTGAAAGCTAATGTAATCAAATAGATATTAAAGAGTGCAAAAAAAATACAGCAGAATTCACCAGACAGAGCTCAGTGAATCTTTTGAGTGTCCTGAATGCCACACATAGTAAGATGTATGTGTTTATATACGGCAGAAATTCAAGGTAAAGTTAAACAGAAGGAAGTTGTTTTTCTGAACTGTTGAAGTTACATACAGTACCTTCTTTTTATATGGCATAAGCCATCTGATTAGGTTAATTCTAGTAATGCCACATATAGTAAGATGTATATGTTTATATATGGCAGAAAGTCAAGGTAAACGTAGGGAAGTTGTTTTTCTGAATTGTTGAAGTTACATACAGTACCTTCTTTTTATATGGCATAAGCCATCTGATTAGGTTAATTCTAGTAGGTTAAAAAAGTATTATCACATAATTCAGACAAACCTGAACTCCAAAAAAATATTTTGAGTAGGTATAATAAGGAATTGCTGAGAAACACTTTCACTTCCTTTCTCTTCTACACTTTTGATTTGCCTAGTTGTAAAATACTGAAACTTGTTCCTCCTCTATTAGCAAAACAATTGCCTCCCCTCTGTAACTCGGAAAGGGCAAAGTGTTCAAGTTCAGCTCCTCTGGCTCATTAGTACCAGCTTCATCTACCTTTGTTCTGTAGGTGTTTGTTTACCAGGTGCTTCCCCTACTGACAGCTTAGCTGCTTTGCAGGGAAGTAGCTAAATATTACACAATTGCAGAGGATCTGGGTTTTTTTGTTCCTTGGGACTAAGTGATATCCCTCTGTCCTCCCAAGATTTTTGAGCCAGAGGACACACTTAATCTGACTGAAAGTCTTTACAGATTGTTTAATTTAGAGTTTGACCTCTAGGCATACTCAGTGGCTTTTTCAGAAGACTCATTTCTGAGTTGGCTGTAGTTGTACCTCAAGCAACATAAGCCTGCACACAAATACCTCCTACGTATCTGCTGCAGACTCTGCTGGGGGAAGGAGGGAGTGTGAGAAGGGAGGAGATTGATTTAAATTCTGCATTAACAAATAATATTTTCAGTGCTTATGAGAAATTTTAAAATTGATTGTCTGACCCAAAGGTAACCCCAAAAAGAAGAACATGCTGGCCCACTACTACTTACATGTGGAGTAACATAACCTGGCCCACATCAACATCCATATTTAAAGGATTTACACAAAAATACAATCCTCCAGGTTACTTCAATAAATATGTTTTTGAAAAATTAATTAACTGAATTTCAAAACCAACTATTTCTTGGCCCTGAGAGGTATTGTTTACAGTGGTAACTACTGACAGCAAAAATTTGTAGTTTTCTGTTTTCTGTCATATTCCTCAGGAAACTGAATTAGAATTTTACATAATCTTATTCTGATTAAGATACCTTACCTTGCATGTCAAAGACCTAGTACAAGGTTTCCTGGTTTCCACATCAATGACACCACAGTATATATCAGGATCAAATTCTCTCTCTGTCAAAGATACATAGTATTGAAAAGTCAAAAGACATTTGAAATACATTTATATTAATTACAAAAATTAACCATATAGGAAACTGTTTTCAAATGTAACACAGACAAGTGTACAAATAAAAATGTACTATACAATTGTACAAATAAAATTTTCTACACTCTCAGCAAGCTTCTGGTGCACTGAAATAAAGATCTCACATCTCCAAAGTGGAGAAATGCATGGCTGTAAAGGACTCCAAAGGAGGAGCAGGAGGGATGGTTTTTGCTACTGGTTTTGGTGTCAAGAACTTTTCCACCATGCTATTAGCACTCACAGTTACTGTGTTTAAAAAAAAAATATGAAGAGTAGACTGGGTTTCCATTTTTGAGTTTCTGAGGTGCTAGTTGTTCTGTTTGCTACATACATTTGGACCTTCCATATAGAAAGAAGGAAAATAAAATGTTTAAAGATATTGGAAAAGAGTAATTTTAAAACAGTAAGAACTGACAAGCCTTTGAGGTCTATACAGTTTCTGAAAACAACAGCCATATTTTAGGTTGTGTCCTTCAAGGTTATGGTAAATTACAGATTTAAATGCTAACAAATAAAACATACTTTTATAACACTGTAACTTGTAATTAGGTATTTCATTAACTTTTAAACTTGTTTCCATATATTCTATATATGTATTTCTGTAGATACATTACTAAGGAGAATATAGGAAATCATTAATTACCTGACAATCTTTTATGTAAAAATTTCCTATTATTTGTAGTTTCTTCAGGTTTCTTTTCCAAAAATGGAGGCACAGAGAGAAGACCTTTACCATTCAGTATCTGTCCAGGGGAAGGCAAGGGTGGCTTTGGTATTGAGGGACAATTAAGGCCAGTCTTTATTGAGGAACTCACAGTAGTAGAACAAGTTGGACCAACAGCAGCTTTCAGTTGGACACCATCTATCTTTGGATGAATCTTTTCCACTTTGACAGATGGAGTCATACTATTATATATGAAAAACAAAGGGGAGAAAATTGAAAATTATATTAATAAATAATAAAAAAGTACTTAAAATATGTTATTACTCAACAGTACTCTGATCTCTTCACAAAGCAAATGTAGACCTTGCTGTTTCATTCTTGGTTTTCTTATTTTTATCTTTTTTATTTTCACATTTTTTATGATGTTCATGATTTCTTCTGTCCTCTTTTCCCCATTTCCTTTTAAGTATTTCAGAGAGTCATCAGGCACTTCCAAAACTGTTACTTGGATTCACAGAGTAAAACCAAAACAACTGGAACGGGCCTTTTTCCTCCAGTAAGAAATGCCCCATTCTGTGACCATAAACTATATTATCAGTTCTGCAATCTCACTCATGCAGGTCAAAAAATCACCTGAATCAGAGCTAAAACTCCTGAAGTTGGCAGATTAGATCAAAGAATTAAGAGTGCCTAATAAAATGACATTTATAGTGATTTAAGATGCAACTTTGCAAGAATTCTTGTTCAACATAGGCACGAGTATTATCTATAATCTTAAGACCAGGGTGCTGGAAAAGATCTGGAGGACTTTAAAGTGATTATCTCTTAAACCAAAACCCCTCTGAAACAAAAGGAAGTTCTACTGATATAGCAGTGTCTACACAAGCAATAACACTGAATTCCTTGTCAAAACTCATACTCACAGTTTGTCATGGGGAACTTTGCTATGCTGTACCGAATGCATTAACCTGTTGTTTCCGCTGATCTGCAGCTTCTCTTTGGGTGATTTCAACAACTTGGAATTTGATGATGATGCACTAGTACCTCCACTGGATGAACGATTGCTCCCACTTCCACTGCTACCTTTGTTTTTTGAAGGGAAAGATGAAATGAGGGAAAATACTGAAGAGGTGGGAGGAGTCGAAGGTGGCTTGCTGGAGGAGCTGTGTCTTCTTTCTGAAAAGAAGGAAAGAAGCGTCCATTTTAAGCATCCATTCAGAAAATTCTTACATATTTCATGTTGTCATTTACTCCAGTAACATCTTTCCTTTACTGGCCTGTGAGTTCTGCTGCAACACACAGAGCATACAGGATTCAAGCCTCGCTGTAATCCATGAGGCTCCACTCACTGCTGGTCCCCAGTTGGTAGTCGGTTATGGGTGTCTCTTAACTTTGGGAGCTACCCTCCTCAGCCACTAAAGCTTAGCTTTTAACAACTCCCCCCATGTTAAAGAACAAAAAGAGTCAAACCTGGATCTCAAACACACAAAGCAAAGAGACTCCTATCCTCACGTCAAGAAAGCTTAAATAGCAGGTTTCCTCAAAAGACAACTACTATGTATAAGTATGACTCTTAACTGGAGTAAGGATGACTCCTAACAGTCAAAAACTATCTTGGAGCCAACATTTTAACTTTCACTTCATAACAGCCTTTTTTGTATAGTCTTCTAGACCTCCACTATGGAACACCATTCAGAACAGCAGCTCATGTATCGACATACAATGTTTTTTGAGTGCTGTGGGGTTTTTCTTTTTTTTCTCTTATTGATACATTAATTTTTTTCCATAGTATGACCAGTATAGGGAGGATTTTGATTTAGGAACCACGTCAAAAGAAGTGACAGATATTATTCTACAAAAAAAAAAAAAAAAAATCTGAACTTTAGAATTAAGAATGGTCAGGTTCCATCAACGAACGTGTTTGAAGAGAAATTATTTAACTACCATTAAACCATTAATATAGTGCTAGCACCATTCCAGTTAAAATAGTATATTTTATGAAGACAGTTCTTTGGAACGAAGAATGCTCAGCCACAAGACAGCTGACAGCTTCAGGCAGTACCCAGCTCTGCCTACACATCGACGTGTTCATCGACTGTTTGCTCAACTGATGCTCAGACACCTGTGATTCCTCGATGATCCCTGTAATCAGCACCTGCTTAACAGACATCTCTGGCAACGAAGTAAACCCAAACCACAGAGCTAAGAGAGAACCAAGAACTAGCAGGTCTGTCAGGGGAGTGGGGAGGCATCAAATCCACCATCGATCAGTCTCAGGATCAGCGTACAGATTTTGACTGCAGCTCACTTAAACCGAAAGAAGCAGGCTACTTAGGAAGTTACAACAACCACAGCCAAAAGTGAAAGCCAAGTCCAGGGCAACCTGTACAGAAGTCTGTAATGCTCTAAAGAATGTAAATTACTACACTTGTGTTCTGTTTATACGACCCGTTTCCCCGCAGTCTGAAATACAGCAACCACACACCGCTCAGAGGATGGCCAAACGAGCTCCATTCATAGCTGGAAGCCATCAGACACACAGCACCAGCCCTGCACCAGCGTCACCAGGCACGGCTCCTGCCAGCAAGGCTCCAGCAGTGCACAACAGCAGTAACCAGGGGAAAAAGTCAAGGTGCTCCAGCAGTGCAGGAGGAGGAGAGGAGTCGTACCTGGCCAGCTAATTTCTTACAGCATTTAAAATGTTCATTAGCTTGGGGGTGCTGGGAAGCATAGACCTTAGATCAGGACACTCCAGTCAAGAAATTATCTCTGAGACTGAACCAGGCAATGTATGTTTTGCTGTTTAGCTGCAAAATGCAAACTACCTAATGAACCTTCTGCAAAGAGAGTCATCATTTCTTAATTAGTATTTACAAAAAAGCTCTGAGAGGTCAGGTGAAATGCCCAACAGAAATATGAACAAATGCTGCTGCCATTTATCACCCATCTCAAGAAACAACTGCTTTACAAATGGAAGCATTTAAAGCAACTAGTTATCTGTAATGTTCAACATCATCTACTCAGTTTTCTGGAACCAAAAGCCACGGAAGAGTTTGCATGTGAAGCACGTTAGCGTATTTATGTTCTAGTAAGTGGCTGTGCTTCTAATATGACATCCTGCTTATTGCCAAATGTCTTTTTATAGCAATGGCAAGAATCCCCAAGCAGCTCTGATAAGTTACTATTTGAGGGCCATTAGTTCAGCGATGCTACACCCTGTGAGATTACTCTATGAGATAATGAGAAAAATTGCCCAATACTCTCCCACCTTCTGTATATTTAGAAAATTCAAAGTCCAAGTTCTTATCACAGTTACATATAATCTCTAATAAAGCAGTGGCTGACTAATGTAATCTCTGGGAGTTTGTTTTGATATTTCTTTTCCCCATGAAGGAAGAGAAGGTGTTACTTCCTTGGAGAAAACCTGGCAGATGAGAAGAGAGAGGGACTAGAATAAGAGCAAGTACTTCCTTGCGTCCCATCGTTAGGGATAAACTAGACAAAATATTAATCTTGGCTATTAATCCAAATGATATAAACACTTCTTTTCTGGCAAGTGGTAGTTTCTTGGACTAAACTCACATATTACCGACTACTATTTTCAAGAATGTTTCATAGCACCATTCTCAAACAAGCAAGTTAATATAAAAAGAGTGTTTTAAAGTGTTGATAATAAAAAAAAAATACTTAAGAAAGCTAAGGCTAATGGCTGCCCACACACCAAGACTGCAATCTACCTGTCAGAGAGAACTTCCTTCTACAGACAGAGGTATGATTTGGAACACACACACAAGCCAAATAAGCTTTTTCTAAAATTTGAGAGCAATTTCTTAAATATTATAACATTTTAAGTCTGCACAACCTTCACTCCTGTAGGTTATCAGCAAAATAAGATGACTTTTCAGCTAACTTTTGCAGCCTGCCTGGGCCTGTTTTGTGTTGACTTACGTACAAGTAGAGGTAGGGCTGCTAGTAGGATTTCCTTTTATTTAATGTTTCAGCCTTTTTATAAGCTTCATGTTTTTAAGTGAAATGTGCTTAAGGCCTGTTTTGCAAACTATCTGAATATTACTGATGTCTTGTCTTACTGGAGAAAGCTAATATTATTTCTGAAACCAGATACATTTTAAGCATGGCATACTTAATCTAATGAATGTATTTATTGACAGACTGACAGAGTCTTTTAATGGGAAAATTACTACACAAACTGTCATTGAATAATCAAGACCACCATGCTTATTATGCTAAGCATATTAAAATGATAAATTCTACTAATCATCTGCCAATCTAATATGGTTCACATTTGTCATTAACTCTGACTCAGCCTGAAAACATTAAAAAACAATTATCTCCAGGTGTTCAGTTTTCAAATTTCAAAAGCACTCCCATCCTTTCCCTTCTTATAACTCTTCAAAGAAAAACAATTTTTTTCATGTCATGATTGCTTTTACAACACTTGAAAGTGGTATTTCCAGTACTGTGACTGTGTAACATGATTCTAAACTCTAAAACTTGGGAGAAGTGTTTTTTTTTGTTGGTGGTGGTTTTTTTTATATTTTTTTTTTTTATTATTATTATTTTTTTATTTGCTGGGGTTGTGGTGTTTAGGTTTTGTTTTTCTGTTTTTAAATTTAGAAGGATGTAAGTTTTGGCTTTGGACAAAGAACCTGAAAGTCTTCCTTGATCCCACAGCACTGGGAAGAATCTGACCTAAACTGAAAGCTACATTCAACACTAAACCTTAACAGATAAACTCCTCCCTGAATATCTTTGCATTTACACAACGTATCTGTGACCCTAGGGAGAAAGGCTGTACACAGAGTTACAATGCAGTTACAGTGCTGTGAAGAGACGGCCTCCCAGCAAAGGCTGTCTCTGCTCGGTGACTGGGATACCTGT